TCCAGTCCATTAGTTAACATCTTGTGAAGAAAAAAGCTGTGTATATAAGAAACAAATCCATAATTAAGACGTTTTAACTTTAAATCATTGCTTCCAATATGAGTCTTTGATGCTTTGATGGATTTGTTTCTTACAAACGTGCAGCTTTTTGATTTACTAAACGTTAATTGATGGACTGGAGTCGTGTGGATTACTTGTGGATTATTGTGATGTTTTTATCAGCTGTTTGGACTCTCATTCTGACGGCACCCATTCAAAATCTGTTCCGATGAAGAAACAAACTATTATTAAACAAACTATTATTATTATTAATATTATTACTGCAGAAGATCCATTGTTGAGCAAGTGATGTAATGCTAAATTTCTGTTTCGGTGAAGAAACAAACTCTACGGGCCCTATCATACACTTGGTGTGCTGGTCTGAAACCGAGGTGTGTTCAGGCGCATTGTTGGCGCGTTGCTATTTTGAGGCAACTGATATAGGCTAGACTACGTCATTGACCAACTAAAACCTGGTCTAAAGTCAATGGCGCAGTAATTTTTTTGTTAGTAATATGCGCCTATAGGCGGGTCCACAACGCGCATACACTCTGCTTATTACACACACAGGGACGTGCAGCAGCACACAAACATGCCAAATATTAAAAATGAAAGGATTACAATGTAAAAGATTATTATTGTGTAGGCTACATAAATATAAAAATGCCTAAATGTCATAACGATAGTCATTGCATGCATCAGAATTAGCCTACCTATTTGCTCGCGTACAAGCTGCTCCGTTTCCTCTCTGGAGATGTGTTCAGTCTTTGTGCTTGAAAATTCCGCCGTGTAAATAGCGAATCCGCCATGGCACAAGCGCAACTGGCTCTTAAAGGGAATGGGAGATGACACTCTGATTGGTTTACTGCACGTTACGCCCAAAACACACCCATTACCCATTAAGAGAATAGGGACAACCCTTTTAGACCATACGTCGTTAAACTAGCAAAAGTGGATTCGGACACACCCTAAGTGCACCTGCGTCGTGCGCTTCAGACCGTGCTCTTAGATTGTTAAAATAGGGCCCCACATCTTGGATGGTCTGAAGGATGAGTACATTTTTAGCAAATTTTGACATTTTTGGCTGAACTATTCCTTCAAATTTAACTAGGGTTAACTGAGCTATGCTAACCATCAAAACCCAAAGTTTGTAAGTCTGTTCACAGACTGATTAAAGAACCTTTATATCTCTTTATATTAAAGAGAAATATAATTTTCTTTTTCCTGTGACGCTATAGATTCAGTAGAGTGTTCACTGTTGGGAAAGGGTCCTCATTTTGAACCGACCATCTCAACAATGCAGAACTTTTCACACTGTGTTCCTTCAACATGCTGCATCTACACATTCTCACTCATGCTTGAAAGTCTGATCTGTCTTCCAGACTAAGCGATGGGAGAGACTGCCAGCACAGTACGGCTGTTGTTCCAGAGATAAATGCCTCTTCCACAAAGACGGCAAAGTGACTCCAAAGCCAGATATTCATTAGGCCGGCTGTGCCAGAAACGATTCCATTCATGTTGGCATGTAAGAATAGAAGGCTTTTTATAGGCGAGTTTTGCTGTCAAGTTTGTAGTCAGGGACATTCGGATACTATGGCAGAAGAATGAGAGATGACAGTTTGCTCAGAGGGGCTGTTTGTGGCTAACTGCCTATAAATGCTTAATGATACTGTGACGGCTAAAATTGGAGGTTGGATCTACGTGTCAGGTGCAAATGGAACCCTGGGAGAAAATTTCTGACCTCTGACCACCTGACAGGATTCGTTAACGGCTCAATCAGAGAAACGCTGTGCATCCACCTCTGTAGCAGCTCTGCACCTTCCTGAAAGGTGCCAGTTATGATGCTATTGAATGACAATCTTCAGACATCTTTCAGACTTTGAGATTGCAGCTTGATGAATTTATTTGCACATTCAAAAAAAACAGCCCACTGCCCCATTAAATTATACTGTGGCTGTACCATGTGTCAGTTTTAAAAAAAAAAGTATTATATATATTAAATGTAAATATTAAATACTATAGATAATGTAGTATTATTAGAATGATAATATTTTAAGTACTATTATTATTTATTAGCTATCCCTGTTGACTTAAATAGTATTTCTTTCCCTACTACAGTATGTAAGTCAGTGGGGACCAGCAACTGTTTGGTTCTTCTTCTTCAAAAAAATTTGTGTTCAACATAAGAGAGAAACTTATACAGGTTTGGAATGACATGAGGGTGAGTAAATGATGACAAAATGTTCATTTTTGGGTGAACTATTCCTTTAACAATGTTTTCTTAAAAATACCATGGTTTTAAACTTTTGATTTCCAGACCTAAAAATTAAATTATAATTTTTAAAGGCAAATAGAAAATAAATATAATTTTGTTTAATTCCACTCAGCTCTAAAAAAACTTAATTGGATAGAGTTTAACTATTTTTTTAACAAATTTTTATAGTATTTTAATATTTTTATATATTAAATTATATAGTAAACTCTGTAGTGTATTTTCATATGCAAGTATACTACATATAACTTTTATTATTTAATATTTGAATATAATATAAAATACTGAATACTTTATAATGTTTAACATCATTTTTAATAACCTTGTCCAGTAATTGCATGCAATGATGTATTGTTTACACAAGAACATATTATGGTACCATATCTAAACATTGGCATCTGGATCTGGTTGTTGCAGCTTTGTGATTTGATTGTTGTTATCACACACTTTGCTCTCTTAAGATCTCCCGGCAACAGCGTCTGTTTCGAGAGATCTCCCCGGTCTTTGCTCTCTAAAGCCAGATTGTGTTTTGGCTGCTTCCACAACACTGCAGTCTGTTCCTGGAGACAGCCGTTAACAGCGAGATAAATCAATAGCATGAATGGTGTGACTTAAAACGAGGCAGTGCGGAGAGCCGAGAAAGAAAACATTAAGCCTTTGTGCCTTTGAACAAGGAAGTGGTAAAACTTGTTATTCAGGATGATAATGCTTATATATACACTTTAATCCGACAGGCTGTCTTCCTGTTGTTCTTACACTGACCCAATAAATCCCTTTCGCTGGTTGTGTTTATTAGTATTTTGCCTGTTACCACTCCCATCTTGCAGCCCTTTTTGACTTTGCAGTATGATCTATTCTAGGAAACAGCAATAAACCTGATTAATGTAGAGAATCTGTTTCTTTGCTTTTTTCGAGTAATGCCTTTTTCACCTCTAATGGCATCTTTGGCTTTTAGGCAGGCAGCAAAAATCAAATTTTTTAGGCAAATCTGTTTACTTGTTTACACGGCAAGAAAACAGTTTTGAAAAATCTGTCGGAATGGCAGTAGTTTTTAGTCATTTGAATTCCCTCATTTCACATGAGGTATTTATGTAGTGAATATTGAACACATATCTCGGACACAAACCTTTCGTTTGGTTCTACGTAATCTGTTTATTATAGTGAGACTTTAATTTACAGCTTTGTGAACCTGATGTAAGTAACTCTTACTCACCCACAGCTTGATTACAGTGACAGCTTGTCGTACAAAGGAGAGACTGATTGAACCGCTTGAACTTCAGAATTGATTGAAGCTTTGATTTCCTGAGGGGAGAAAGTGAAGGAGAGACTTGGGAAGAAGGAGTGAAAAGACTCATCCCTTCATGACGCATTGCTCATTTCAGACAGTGCTAGACAGAGGCACATCTAGGTTGCTGGGACACTGACTAGATTAGTACCGCTCACACCAGCTTTCCTTCCCTTTTATCTTTAAAAAACCAGCAGTTTTAGAGGTACAAATGAGACATACTGTTTTTTCCTTTTCCAAATCCCCAGGTGTCCTTATTAAGCGTTAACAGGTACAGGACCCTAGTGAAAACAGTGCTGGCTGGGCATATCTGCCCATGCTGATATTGTCTGCCATTCAGACCCCATTTATAGTGGTATTATGCCATGGTTTATGGTAACTGAAGGTATCAGATTACTTTATAAAATCTTTATGACTCTGTGATGTTTAATTTTAATTATTTTGCTGCACCATGTTCTAGTTTTGAGTAGCAGTGGAAAGTAGTGAAACAAACCACCTTGCATTTTAACTAGATATAGACTGATACATCTGTTTTACCATTTTTTTAAAAGATATTCACACTTTTTTTATTCAGCTGTTTACCAGTGTTCACATATGTACATTAAATTATTTAATTTATTGTTTGGGCATTAACTCAATTCAATTTTTTTAATTATTATTTTTAGTCCAAATTTTAAATATTAATAAAAATAAAAAAAAACTTTAAATATGTGAACATTCATATACCAAAACATCTTTTTATAAATATAATGCCGTAAGTAACAATTACTACAATTATAAATTATTTTATTAAGTGTATAAATTACTTTAATTTATTTATAATAATAATATATTATTATTATTATTATTATACAAATTAATATAAATGATTAATATTATTTTAAGAATTTTATTATTAATAAAAATAACCGAAATACATATTGTTTTTGTTGTAGTCTGTTGATCATATAGTTATTACTGTGTCAAAGCTGAAATAATGTTTTTAGATATAAATATTAAAATAATCTGTTTCATTATTAGTCATAAGAAGACATCGATTAATCTCTAATCAGTGTTATTTTAGCATTGATATAAAGCTATAGTTTTTGTTAATATTTTGAATCAATTTTTATTTTTAGATTTTCTGTTCTCATTTTAATTTTAGTTAAAGTTGTAGTTTTTTTTTTGTTTTTTTTTGTCATTTTTAGTAGTCATTGTTTTCTTTTCTTTTATATATGTGTGTGTGTTCACTGTGTGTCTGTGTTCACTGCTGTGTGTGTGCACGTGGATGGGTTAAATGCAGAGCACAAATTCCGAGTATGGGTCACCATAATTGGCCACACGTCACTTCACTTCACTAATATGTGATATCCAGTTTGATTTATTTGTTTTAGTTAAGCTAATTATTATTAATGTGTTCCACAGACGTTGTTTGGGAGCCACGAGTCTCAGTCTGTCCAGCTGTGGGTTTCCTACAACCGGCAGCCAATGAGAGCAGCTCAGTTTAACACCCGCCACCCCATCACGGTGAGTGCCGTCAGCTTCGTTTAGTCTCAGAAATAAATTTATGGTCATGACTTTTAAAGCTTCATGTTGTTTACCTGTCTCGTGCGATTCCCTGCTCTCCTCTCTCTGCAGGAGTACTACATAGCAGATGCTTCGGAGGACCAGGTGTTCGTATGCGTGAACCACAATAATAACGTTACACACCTGTACATCTCAGACACACAGGGCCTAGCCTTCTCTCTGTCCCTAGAGAACATGCTGTTCTACAGCCCTGATGGCTCTGGGAGCAACACGCTTATCAGGTACAGTTAAACATCACAGTGTGTGTGAGAGAGAGATGCCTTCCTGCTGCAGAACAGTACATAAACACAGATGGTGTGACCATAAAAGTGATTTACCAAAGTAGGACTTATGTTTGTTGGTCCTGGAACAACATTCCTATTAAAAGGATAGTTCACCCAAAAATGAAAATTCTGTCAGTAATTACTCACCCTCATGTCGTTCCAAACCCGTAAGACCTTTGTTCATCTTCTGAACACAACTTAAGATATTTTTGATGAAATCCGAGAGCTTTCTGACCCTGTTTAGACAGCAATGGAACTACCACGTCATAGTACTCTTGTGAATGCACAGCGGAGACTGACACGAAAGAGAACATTGTTGAATAAAGTTGTTATTTTTGTTTTTTTTGCACACAAAAAGTATTCTTGTAGTTTCATAACATTATGGTTGAACCACTGATGTCACATGGACTATTTTAACGATGTCCTGACTACCTTTCTGGGCCTTGAACGTGTCAATTGCCTTGCTGTCTATGGAGGGTAAGAAAGCTCTTGGATTTCATCAAAAATATCTTAAATTGTGTTCCGAAGATGAACGAAGGTCTTACGGGTTTGGAACGACATTAGGGTGCGTAATTAATGATAAGATTTTCATTTATGGGTGAACTATCCCTTTAAATAATTGTGTCCCTAACTCCATTCATTAATGTTAAATATTTTGTATTGCCTTTTTGTCTTTTTATTGGTAGTTTTCTGTCTTTACAAGTGATATATAGAATATTTACAAACAATTCATAAATACTATTTACATGCAACATATTTTTGAAAAGACTACCTTAAGCTTAAAAGAAAATAAAAATTGTATTTTTGTTAATCATCATAAATCTATACAGAATCGTTTAAAAGTTTGGGGTTGTTAAATTATTATTATTTTTTTTAAAGAAGTCACTTCTACTCACCAAGGCTACATTTATTTGATCAAAAATGCAGTAAAAATACTAATACTGTGAAACAATATTATTACAAATTAACAAATTAATTGTTTTCTATTTGAATTTATTTTAAAATGGAATTTATTTGAGTGATGGCAAAGCTGAATTTTCAACATCATTACTCTAGTCTTCCGTGTCACATGATCCTTCAAAAATAATTTTAATATGATGATTTGGTGCTCATGAACATTTAATTTTATTATCAATGTCGAAAACAGTTGTGCAGCATATATTTTGGTGGAAACCATAATATAATTGTTTAGGATTCTTTAATGAATAGTAAGTTCAAAAGAACAGCATTTATTTGAATCCCGAATTTTTGTAACAAATGGGTTTTTTACTTTCACTTTTAATCAGTTTAATGCATTCTTGCTGATGACAAATATTAATAAATAAATAAAAAAATCTTACTGACCCTAAACCTTTGAACATTAGTGTAAATCTGAAAATGCATAAATAAATAAATAAATGCATTTCTTAGCAGTTTTCAATAGAAACTTTCTACTTTTCACCCTAAAAAACAAGAACCATTGACCTACACTAACCATAACGCCTTTTTCTTAACTTCAGACTAACCATAATCCCTAAAACCCAAAGGAAATCATAGGTTGATACAAATTTTGGTTGAAGCCCCAACCCAAAAATGTAGTTAGAAATTTTGTCTGAGAGCCAACAACCATGTTGAGCCAGGAACATGTCCCACTTCAGTAATTCACGGTAAGCCCCGGTCTTACACAGCTTTTGGTCTTGTCACCTTTACTTGAACTCCTCTTGGTTTAGTGACGGCCCCTCATCAGTGCTGTAAATCCGATTTGGCTCTGCACACCTCAACCCATAAGCAGGTTAGTGAGGTCTCGTCTCTCTAATGCAAGACCTATGTCTTCGCCCACCGGTCCCTCCGCTCACACTGTCAGTAGAAAAGCAATCTATCATTCCTACACAGCTTCCCAAGGACATGCTTTTGTTTTACTCTGCGGCAGAGCATGATCTCACCCACCGCCAAACCACTGAGCTCAGCACGGCCGCCTGAGAGCAGAGACGCAATTACTGCAGTGCGGAATGCAGATGAGATGCGCTTGGCTCGCGTGCCACTGGCATTTTTATAGAGCCCCTCTCTTGGCAGATATGAATGGCACATGGAAACAGATTTGTGTTTTTGTGTGTTTGAAAGGTACTTCGCCAACGAGCCGTTTGCAGATCTCCACCGGGTCGAGGGGCTGAGGGGTGTGTTTGTGGCCACTCTGATCAATGGATCGGTCACTGAGGACAACATGCGGTCAGTCATCACGTTTGATAAAGGAGGAACCTGGGAGCTTCTGCAGCCACCTGCGGCCGACAGCCTGGGAGGAACCGTAGACTGCCAGGTATTAGGGATGTTGGTCATTTTGGATACTCGAGTACTAGATTAATCAGCCAAATACTCTGGGGTAAAGGGTTTTTCTTTTAGATGTCCTGTCAATTTAATAATAATCCAAAATATAAAAGCAAGATCCATGTGATTTTGGTCCATTAGGTTTAACTCCCATTCAGTTTTTTTAGCACACAAACACATCCGATGTGGATGCTCTTTCTATGCAGAGTTGAGTGAATTTTCTTCCCCTGAAATGCACTATATGCTTTTTGGCATAAATTTCTACCCCCCTCTAACTTTTCAGACCGCACACTACTACCCAAAATGCCACTGTAACGAAATATAACATTTTATGAATGATCATTGCTGGCATTTCTGAGTACTAGAGTACTGAGTACTTTAAGTACTGAGTACTGAGTAAATTTATGGCCAATAACCGATAAATGTTAGATAAAATGTTATATTATTTTGTCTATACATTATATTCTTTTGTCTAAAACATTCATGTTATATATTTATTTAATTTATTTGTCAAATAAAAAAGTTTCAAATCAGTTAAAAAAAAAATCAATTTTAATTATAAATTTTAAAATTTAAATTTAAATTTCTAAAAATGTAATATACTTATTGTATGTATTATATTTAATATGCATTATGTTTAATTTTAAATGCTACAGATTATTTTGGCATCAAAACTGTAATAATGTACAGTATGAAGAATGGATATTCATTTTGAGATTTGCTAAATATTACTTTGAATAGTGTTTATAAATTATTAATATTTTTAATGTTTTTAAAGTGGGCATTAGATGATGGCAAAGGTTATCTTCATGACTCATGAGCATAAACGATTAAATACCCAAGACTGAGTGATAGTGATACATAAAAAAAAACTTTAATATCAGTAGATAACTGGTATGATACCAATATATTGTGCTTATCCCTACCATGAGTGTAGAATCTCCACTTTTTGCTCTATTTTGTGTATTCGTGATGCCAAGCATGTGTTAATGAAGCTGTGGTTTTGTATTTGCGAAAAAGGAGTTAGACTGCTAAGTTTTACGATCGTAGGAGGAAGTAGGGCTTTTTCATGCTTTTCCAGTGAACTGTTTGTTACTATCTCTCTCTCTTGCCTTCTCAGCTGGACAATGGCTGTTCCCTGCACTTGGCCCAGAGATGGAGTCAGCTGCTGAATATTCAGCTGCGCAGGATCCCTGTTCTGTCTAAAGAGTCTGCACCTGGCCTCATCATGGCAACAGGTAGGCCACATAACCTGCTCTCTGCTCCTCTCATATGTGCGTGAGAGAGGAAATACAAACACTTTAGCAGCTTGTTCTGTTTCTTCCTGTTTATGTTGCTTTGCTCCTGTTAACCAAGTGTGTGTAGGTCCCTTCAGAGAACACAGTACACACTGTAATGATAGGGAGCAAGTGCATGAGCCTGACTTCTTGAGTTCATGCCTGGCGGAAAACATTGATTTTGCTCTCTTTGCACGGTTTGGAAGGCACTTCCTCCCTCTCGTATCCCTCTCTCTCTCTCTGCCAGCCGCAGCCAGGCCTTTAATTAAATGATTATTAGATAATGTGCATGCATGAAGATGAGAGGCGCAGGAGGCTTGTGAAAATGTCTGCTATCGCTCTGGCGCAGATGTGCTAATTATTTGTACTTCACCCACTGGCTAATTATCACATACAAACACACCCTCGCACTCATCGACGCCACCTCAGCATTGTTCTTATTGCAAAAAAACGTGTTAAGTGCCGCATATCTCTCTTAAGGAGATGAATGTAAATGAAGTTCATTAGCACTCAAATTAATTAATGACAAAACCACCTGCGGTGATGCAGCAGTACAATGCATGGCGTCGAAAAAAGGAAACCGATGATTCTGATGTCAGGGGTGTCGAAGGAGAAGGTGACAGACAGTATCCTTGTCTGGGCTTCTTGTCACAGCGGCGAGACTGAAGCATCTGACAGGAACACAGTGTTTCTTGCCCTTTGCTGGGTTTGTTCTTCTTTGAGCTAATTTCCTGCTGTTTTGTCTCTATTGTGGTCTGAATTTTGAGTAGGCTGAAACATTAGCATCTACACTACAAATATGATGTGGTCAGATGCACTTGAGACCATCTCTCATGTGGTTTACATCATGAAACATAAACCCCTTTTACACTTGTTTTAAACGCTGTCATTTTGTCAGATGGTTACCTGATATCAGTTGTAATTGAGGCCTGTGATATATGACACCAGATGCAGTGTAAATATTGGCTCTCTCTCTGTCTCTTTTTCTCTCTCTCTACTATCTTCTATACAGGATCTGTTGGAAAGAATCTGGCCAATAAGCCCAATGTGTATGTATCCAGCAGCGCAGGGGTCAGATGGAGAGAGGTGAGGACCTGCATCTCTGTGATAGTGCAATAAAAAAAATAAAAAAAACGGTTATTTAGGTAAAAAATTGGGTTTGCATAGAACACAGAAATCAGCCATTCATGTGTCCAAATTTGCTCAATCCAATTATGTTGCACTTTTGACTTTTTTTTTTTTTTGATGATGATGATGATTTCAGTTAATATTTTATTTATATTTGTATTGTTGTATTTATGTAGTGGCTCAATATTTTATTTACTTTTTTCATTTTAATTTGATTTTCTCATAATTTTTTTTTTCTGCAGTTATTTTTGACATGATATTTATTCACCCTTATGTTGCTCCGAACACCCATATCTTTTTTTTCATTTGAAGCAAAAGATCAAATCTGCTCTTTTTTTGTAGATCATAATGCATGATCATCAGTTCTTTCGCGATTTGCTTGGTTTGTTTTAGGGATGCTCATATTTTAATGGTTTTACCGTTAACCGAAAGAATTTTGACCGATTAATACTCAGCTGAACGATTTAAAAGGTTTTAAAAGTTTTTTTTCCAAGTATTTTTTAAAGTTTGCTGCATTGTTAAAGAAAAATATTCTATAATAATTAATTAATTAATAATAATTTTATGCATTATTTATTATTATTATGCATTATTATTCTATGCATATTTGTTAACTCACGGCCGGGGACGTAGAGATACCTGCAACCGCACTTGCCTACAGATATATTTCACTGCGCAAGCACCTGCTCCACTTTCACTTAACTGAAGTAATAAAGGCAACACAATGGCAAAAGGCAATATTGGATAAATGGTTATCAGAGAGTGAATCCGTGAGTGAATGTATTCAAATTCTGAATGGGTTTGGGAAGCAATAAAAAGCTGTCACTCATTTTCAGTTCTTCGCAATCTCACAAAGTTTCATTATATTCAATGAAGCTCTACACTACTGCACAATTATTCTCTTATTACAATTTATTTCTAATGAGAGGATTTATGTCTGATGAAAAAAAACATTAGGTTCTTCAAAGTGCATTGAAGGATTCAGTGTGTGTGTCATCTTAATTTAATTATTTAAGTGAAAAATATTTTGTGTAGGCCTATTTATTTTATTCTTTTTATTTATATTATTTCATTCAGTTTTTCTTTGTTCTCAGAAGCGCTGCAGGTGTATTTTTAATGCGTCACAGACACTCGTCCATTCTATTATTTATTTAATACTAATTTAATATTCAAATCTTATCAGTTAACGGTTAATGTTCGGATACCAACGGTGGTTGTCGGTCGGAAAAATGAACCGAAATGAGCATCCCTAGTTTGTTTATATATTCATTTATGATTTTATAAATCATAAATATGTTAAATCAGGAGTTTAACCTGTTTTCCTTTACATATTAAAGAAGTACCACTAGACTATCCCATCTTATATAAAGGATTTTTTTAGTCATGTATTATTATCTCACTTAGGGCACCAGTTGAGCCAAAGTGCCATTAGTTACCCCTCAAAAACAAAAACAAAGTTGTACGATGCTGCTGCTCAGTATATTAGCACTTTTTATATTCCCAGACTTTTTGAAAAGTGTAGTAGCATTTGTTGTTCCATGTAACGGATATGTATGTTCTTTAGGCCCTGGCTGGTCCTCATTTCTACACCTGGGGAGATCATGGAGGGATCCTGATGGCTATCGCACAGGGTGGCTCCACCAGAACACTCAAGTCAGTAACCGTTTAAGGATCTAATGTCACTCTGCTTTTAGTAGAAGCTCTTTGAGTATTATCTGGCTTTAGGACGTTACTGATAGCTGTGTCTCGTCTTTTGCTGGCTCAGATTCAGTACCAACGAGGGGGAAACCTGGAAAGAGTTCCAGTTCTCAGAGCAGGAGGTATATGTGTACCAGCTGCTGACTGAACCGGGTGAAAAGAGCACCATCTTCACCATCTTCGGCTCATATGCGGACCAGAAACACAGCTGGCTCATTGTGCAGGTCAACACTAGTGATGTGCTTGGTAAGAGAACAGTGCACTTATAATTGGTGCACCTTGTAACCACCACACCTTAGTAACTGCCCAGCAAATCCCCTAGCAGCCAGTTCTACATCTGATGTTATGTGTTTAGGTGTGCCGTGCTTGGAGGGCGACTATAAACGCTGGTCTCCTTCTGACGAGAGGGGAAACGGCTGTCTGCTCGGCAGAGAGATGGTGTACAAGCGCCGCTCGCCTCACGCCACCTGCTTCAACGGCGAGGACTTCGACAGGCCCGTCACTCTGTCCAACTGCTCCTGCACTCGACAGGACTATGAGTGGTATGAGCCGAAATCCCGTTTTCCTTTGCTTTTCTCATTTGGCCATTTTCTTCACCTGAATGCCAATCATTTTCCACTACTTTGTGTCATCTTTATCTGATTGCAGTGACTACGGGTTTAAGCTGAGTGAGGATCTGTCTCTCGAGGTGTGCTTGCCTGATCCTGAATTTTCTGGAAACCTTTATGCCCCACCAGTACCCTGTCCGGTGGGCACCACTTACCGCCGCAGCAAAGGGTGAGAACAATGTTACCTTTACCTACAAAAACACAACTGATTATACACACTACGATTAAAAAATTTAGTCAGTATTAATACTTTAATACTTTTATTAAACAAGGATGCATTCAATTGATCAAAAGTGACCGTAAAGACATTTATAATGTTACAAAAGATTTATATTTCTAATAAATGCTATTGTTTTGAACTTTCCACTTGTTAAAGAATCTTTAAAAAAATGCTTCACAGTTTACACAAAAATATTAAGTAGCACTGTTTTCAACATTGATACTAATAATAAATCTTTCTTGAGCAGCAGATCAGCATGTTAGAATAATTTCTGAAGGATCATGTGAAACTGAAGACTGGAGTAATGATGCTGAAAATTCACCTTTGCCATCGTGAATTACGGGAATGAATTGCATTTTAAAATATATTAAAATAGAAAAAAACTTATTTTAAATTGTAATAATATTTAATATGTAATATATATGTAATATATATATATATATATATATAACTGTTTGACAGTATTTTGATCAAATAAATGCAGTCTTTGTGAGCATAAAAGACTTCTTTCAAAAACATTTAAAAATCTTCGACCCCAAACTTTTGAACAGTAATTGAGTACTGATTAAAAAAAAATAAGTTAAATTTAATATCAGTTAACATTAGAAATGTTGCTCTGTTCATGTTTTATTATCATACAATACTGAACCAGGCAGAATTTATTGGAATTAAAAATTGGTAGTTTTAAAATGAAATTAACTTACAAAAAGAATGACTGCACCACTGATTATTTACAATTGATGTGTTATATCACACACACACACACACACACGCACGCACACACACACACACACACACATACACAC